GAGGGAGGGTTGGTTCCCTTTGAAGCCCACCAATGCTGCTCCTCTAGCCCTGCAGGTTCGGTGACGAAAGGGTTGCAGAATGGCTGTCCCCTTGGGAATTAATGTGTCCTGGGTTTATTTTGGTCTTACTGTATGAGTTATGCATATTATGGGTGATGGTATTTTTATGTCCTGAGGCTGTATTTTACGTGGATTGTTGAATTGTTAAGACCGCCGCCTGCGATAGTCATTACTGCTCTGAAAGGAATGTGAAACCTGTCAACACGATCTGTTTTATGAATTTAAAGTGCCGATTAAATTTCAAAATGGGAAAATATCTTTGACATACAGTTTTAATTAGAGTCTTGCTGTTTCTTTTCTTAAAATAACAGAAATCGATCTTAAAGAAGCACAAAGATTTTTTGCTCAGAAATTCTCCTGTGGTGCCTCAGTGACAGGGGAGGATGAGATCATCATTCAGGGAGACTTTACAGACGACATCATTGATGTCATTCAGGAAAAATGGCCGGAGGTGAGTGTAGGGACCACACACGTTGACAGAAGTGAGCTTTTAAAGCAGGTTGCTTCCACGTTTGATGCCACAACTCACGAAGTGGGATTCCTTGTGTTTTATAGGTGGATGACGAGAGCATCGAAGACCTTGGGGAAGTGAAGAAGTGATTTGGGAAACCTGTCTATTTAATGGTCTGAACTGAGAGTTGATATAGCCAAAGGGGGAGAGGCCTTTTGAAAAAATCTATATTTATCCTGCAGTAAAGCTGTGGACGACCCTCGCCCTTGGCATTTTCACTGTTCTGTACAAGGCTGCTTGTTTTTTTTTATTGCCAAAGTCTAATAAACGGGAGACTCAGTCATGCTTCTGCATGAGATAGAATTTAGACAAATAAAAATTTTGGGTCACTTGGTACTGACTTTTCTCTCTCAAACTTTTTATTTTTTGAAAAAGCACTGTAGACTTTTTGTGGAAAGTTTATCTGTTGATTGTTTTTCAAATGGCCGTGATTTCATCAAATCATGATTTAAAGCTGAGTGATGTTTTAAAGAATTGTAATCTGGCTTCACCCCCTGTCATAATTGTCTCCTTGCTCCTTTGGTGTGATTGTTTTGAGGTGCCTGAGCATCTCATAGATTTGTGGTTGAGTTGGCTTCATTGTTACCAACCAAGTCCACTTTGTTGGTAGGAGTTGTTCAAGCTCTTTTGGATATTATTTGGTAAAGTATATTAAAAGCCTTAAAACCATCTGCACTGTCCGACCCAGTAAGCCACTTCTTCAACATTATCCTAAAGATACAAGTCTTGTGTTCATCACAATGTTACTCATAGTATCAAAAAATTACAAATGATATAAGTGAGAGGGTTAAAGAAATGATGGTGCATCATATGTTAGAATATTACGCATATATTTTAAAATATTTCCCAAGAATACTTGGGAACATGTTTCATAATGTTAAGTAGGGGGCTGACCCCAAATCCGTTTTACACATTACCATCGATTTGCGTGGAAGGCCATTCAGAGGCTCTTTGAGTGTAAAATCCTGCTAACCAGCTGCAGATGTTATAAACCCATGTTCCCTATATTGTCTGGGAAATAGCAATTGAAACATGTTTTTTTCTCACAAAGAGAAACTGACCATTTTAATGAGTGCACTAAATGAATTTAAACTTTGTTTTTATAAAGGTCTTAAGTCAGGTGCTACAAATTGAAAAGAAGACTCGTGCTATTTTAATTGCTATAGACCCCTTTAAGAAATTTAGAACCTATTGTTTATTGCCATGCAAATTACAATCTTGAATGTGTTTTTTTAATAATTAAAATCTTGGAATGTATAGTGAAGATGTAAATTTAAAAAAAAATCTGCATTAACTGAGTTTTATTAAATATGATTATTATCTGATGAAGCAAATTTATCCATCGAGACCATCTGGTGTGTGTTATGTGTGCTGTTGGTGCTGGAAGATGTCTGTGTGCCTGTATCATCAACACATGTGACTTCATGTAAAGATTCTTAATGTTCACAGTTCTTGGTGAATGCAGTTTCAACCCATCTATAGCCAGCAGTGGATGTTACTGCTGGAAAATGCAGGATTAAAATTGTCATTGTGTATAACGTGTGTGAGTCTCTTTCTTTGACCTGAATTTAAAATGCAGCACAGTTTAATCTCTGATTACAGTGAGCCAGTAGCACAAGGATTGACTTTAATTCATTTTTTTTTTTTTATGTGTGTTTCATGGGATGTTTTCACAGTCTAGTATTTTTAGCAAAAAATAACCCTTAAACAGTCATATATCATAATACGTATAAGAGATTTGCCATAATTAAGCTGGCAACTTCAAATGCAAATACAGTATGCAGTATTTTAGTCATTAAAAAAATAGATGCTGATAGTAATTTTAAGTTTCGTTTTAGTTATTATATAGAAACCTCAGTAAATCAGCTGTTGCTTAAGGTGTAAGTCCATGGTAGCTTTCTCTTAGTTAAAAATTACAATTTTAAAGATGAATTCTTTTATTTATTTTTTGCTTTTTTAGAGAGAAAGGAAGGGGGTAAAGAGAAACATCAATCGGTTGCCTCCTGTGTGACTTGGCAAGGATTGAACCCGCAACCTAGGTATGTGTCCAGATGGGGAATCAAACCAACTTTTGGTGTATGGGACACTCAAACCAATTAAGCAACCCTGCCAGGGAAAATGAATTCTACCTTTTAGATCTTGTCCTTGTTAATTAGGAAATAAGGTACGGAGACTGGAATGAGTCCATTTAGCTCATCAGTTTGAATTAAACTAAGCGTAAAATCAGATGCAGTATAATTCTTACAGCCTTCAGAAAACATGCCATTTAAAAATATCTTTAAAGGTTTTCTGTTTTAAAGAAAACTTGTGGGAATGAACTTAAAATATTGAGGTTTTTGATTTGCAACTAATAATATTCTCATGACATTCAGCTAATATTTACCACCCTTAATGTCATAAGGTGAACCTCATTTCTTACTATCTGTACTCATTTTTACAGTGAGTGAGTGGCCTGTGGTTGCCTGGTGCACAATGGCATTTTAGGGCTTCCTAAAAAAAAAAAAAAAAAAAATCCAAGTCTTAAAATTGGTGAAATTTGAAAAGCATTTGAATTAAAATGTTCCTCAACTGGAAAACTGACATTCAACTACATTCCTTTTACATCTCATTTCAACAAGACTGCATAGTCGTCTGCTGATAGGCTGTTCTTAACAACTAGTCTGGATTTTCTTTCTTGGCTTTACATTCTAAGACATCGTCTTGTTGGTTCTCCTGAACATGAGCCTATCCCAAGGAGGCAAGTGTTGCCCAAATCAGTGAAGCTCAAATGTAAGAAATTGTAAATTTGTTTTTCCATTTTCAGACTTTATAAACACAAGGGCATGTTTTGCTAATTCAGTCAAACAAAAAGTAAAGCCGAAATACTACAAGATTGTATTTGGTAACTTGTCTTGCCTTAGTGCCATTTTATGGGTTCAGCAGTACGGGGTTGGTGACCAGGGGTTGAATGTGATAAATACTGTTTTTTTCATAGTTCAGTTCCTATATAACATGAAGCGTAAAAAGGATTAAGGGAAGGACTAGGAAACGACACATGAAGAAGCTTAGGTTCAACCCAGATGTGTGCTACATTTTGTCACGATAAAGTTGCAAGATTCTCATTGTTATTCAAGAGCTACATCGAGAGTCCAATTTTCCCCCTTTTTACCTGCGATTCTTATTTTATTGTTGAAAGTATTACAGATGTCCCCTTTTCTCCCCCATTGATCCCCTCCACCTCGCATCCACCTCGCTCCCGGGCCTTCCCCAGACCAATGCCTGTGTCCACAGGTTATGCATATGAGCCTGGAAGTTCTTTGATTAATCTCTCCCCACCCACACCCCCCATCCCCGCCTTCCCTCTGAGATCCCTCGATCTGATCCATGCTTCTACGTCTCTGGATCTGGGATTCTTAGTTTAGAGCTGTTGCCAGGCTGTCCAACAACTATTAATAACTGCAGGACTGGTGTCGGCCTCCATCCACTTACTCGTTTTGAACGCCAGGTGCTGCTCTCGGTGCCCGGTGCACACGGCAGCTCAAAGGCCTGAGCTCGCAGGGCAGCAGGCGAGGGGCAAATCGGAGAGCCACTCGACCGTCGTAGCCCCGGGGTGCTGGGGACAAGCAGCCTTCCACTGGCCTCGTGCATTCACCGGCGCCGAGACCCGGGAGTACGGACGGGACCGTCCCTTCCCAGGTAAACCATCCGCGAGTCCCAGGCCCGCCCCTGTAAGAACAAAACGTCGCGAGAGCAGCGCGCGCCATCCGCCCGGCACGTGGTCGGACGAGAGCCAGCTTCCTGCTTCCGGTCGCGCGGCTGCCCAGGTATCGCGAGAGCGAGCGCGACCCCTTACGCTGGG